GGCTTCTAGTTCAGAGCTCTATCTACTGGCTGAGGTTTAATGAAGTTCCAGAAAACAGACAGATATACATACACATATACACATACATACATGATGTGATTAGATCTCTGGATCCAAAGTCTACCCTGACTCACAACGTCCCACATGATGTGGCCACAGCCAGTGCTCCAGCTTTATCTGGGCTTCCCTTTTCCTCATCACAGCCAACACCCTCCAGCCCGCCTTCCTTTCCTCAGATCTTTACAGCTTGTTTCTGCTTCTTGGTGCTTACTATAAAATAAGTAAGTCGTGGGGATGAAAATTAGAGCATAGGGAATATAGTCAATAATTTGAAGCATCTTTGTACGATGACAGAGGGTAATTATGCCTCTGCAGTAAGCATCTCATAATGTAGATTGTATTTAATGTATATAACTAAAATTACTATGTTGTACACCTAAAACCAATGTAATACTATATATCAACTATACTTCAATAAAAAAGGTAATAAAGAATTAGAATGAAAAAATAAACTGTGGTATGTATTATATATGCAGTTATATATAATTGTATATACAATTATATACTTAATATAATTATGCATTATATATGTTTGTATATAATAATTTTGTGATATATTACATATTATAATACATGAGAATACTACACAGCAATGAAAACTAACTAATAACTACCATATGCAAGAGAATAAATAAATCTCATGAACCTGAAGTTCAGCAAAAATGCCACACAGTAAAGCGGACATACTGAATGTGCTCAGTTATAAAAATTCAAAAACTAGCAAAAATAATCTAGGATATTAGAAGTCAAGACAGAGAAAGAGGGGAAGGAGTGACTACAAGGTGCGGCATCAGTCTTATTCTATTTCTTCATCTAGGTGGCACTTACATGGTATGTTCACTTAGTGAAAATTCACTTACCTGTGCATTTGTGATTTGCGAATTTTTCTATATTATGTTATAACTCAATACATACATTTACTTTTAAAAAGTAGAAATAATCTTACATTACACTGTTAAAATTATGTAAAAACTTGTACCTGTGCACATAGGAATCAATTAAAATGCATTTTCAGATGTTGAAATTGATTTTCCCCATTCTCTTTTAAAAAATATTTGAATTGCTACATAACTTGCATAATTTAAAAACATAAACAAACACCAAAAATTAAGTCCAGATTATCTTCTGCAATTAGAGAGCCTCCAGTTGTCCAGGAATTCCAATATTTTGGGATCAATCTTCAGAATTCACTATTTGTGGCTCCCACATGAACACCAAATTCAAGATTGCTTGTGCTCCAGTTTACATAAGCAGAAAGGGGCTGAAACAACACTTCCCATCTTCTCTCCAGATCCTCTCTGTGTGTAAGCAGACACTTCTTTATGTCCTTTCCAGTCTGATTTTCAGACCATATATATATATTATATAATATTTTCAGACCATATATAATATTATATATATATATACTGCCAGAATTGTTTCTGCTCTGAGTCATTTAGTCACTCTAGTTCTTTAGTAAAATTTATCTCAACTTAGAAACTACAATGTTTTAATTTTTCCAACATAGAGTTTCCCCTCACTTGAGCCCCAAAATATGTCTTTCAACTGTTTCTTTTGTCCAAGGTGGTTAACACAAGCAATATTTGATTTCTTACGTGTTATTAAATGGTTAGAATTGGTCGGGTGGGGAAGGCAAGGGCACCTTTTTACAGTAGAATGCTCATAATTTCTTCTTGATCTGTCATTACTCCTAACATAAGTAAGTAACGCATATTGTAATCCAGTGACCCCTTATGAAATAAATTGTGAACTCCCATTTACTATGCTAAAACAGAGAACTTTTAAAAGGTAAAATGCCTCTGAGATTAACTTCTATTTGGAGCATGGACTGGCCTAATGGAAAACTCAAGCATTTTAACAGCTCAAATTCCAACACTCAGAGGTACAGAATTGAGGTCCTAACGGTTCTGCAAATAAAAAATTGGAGGAAAAAATCAAGTCCAGAAGATTTAAATGTATCCTCTTGACTAACTAAGCAAAAGTGTACCAAGGGACTTCCTTAATTTCTCCAAAACTTCCTGGAGATTAACAGTGCAATCATCATGTAATTATCAAAGAAGTACGTGCAAACATACACATGCATATGTAACCAAATATTGTACACAGTTCAATTCAGTAACAATTCTCATTCCTCCACTAGTCAGTCATTGAGATAAAAAGTTCTCCCAACAGAAAAGATGTTGACAACAAAGAAATTTTTTCCTTGTGGGAGACAAGATCCTACCCTAAGGGGTTGTGTGTTGAGGATCATGACACCAAAGAGGATAGCATGAATATACTCAGAATTTGACCTGGAAGGGATCCTGAACCAGAATAAGAAGTCAGGGCTTCTAGTTCAGAGCTCTATCTACTGGCTGAGGTTTAATGAAGTTCCAGAAAACAGACAGACATACATACACATATACACATACATACATGATGTGATTAGATCTCTGGATCCAAAGTCTACCCTGACTCACAACGTCCCACATGATGTGGCCACAGCCAGTGCTCCAGCTTTATCTGGGCTTCCCTTTTTCTCATCACAGCCAACACCCTCCAGCCCGCCTTCCTTTCCTCAGATCTTTACAGCTTGTTTCTGCTTCTTGGTGCTTACTATAAAATAAGTAAGTCGTGGGGATGAAAATTAGAGCATAGGGAATATAGTCAATAATTTGAAGCATCTTTGTACGATGACAGAGGGTAATTATGCCTCTGCAGTAAGCATCTCATAATGTAGATTGTATTTAATGTATATAACTAAAATTACTATGTTGTACACCTAAAACCAATGTAATACTATATATCAACTATACTTCAATAAAAAAGGTAATAAAGAATTAGAATGAAAAAATAAACTGTGGTATGTATTATATATGCAGTTATATATAATTGTATATACAATTATATACTTAATATAATTATGCATTATATATGTTTGTATATAATAATTTTGTGATATATTACATATTATAATACATGAGAATACTACACAGCAATGAAAATTAACTAATAACTACCATATGCAAGAGAATAAATAAATCTCATGAACCTGAAGTTCAGCAAAAATGCCACACAGTAAAGCGGACATACTGAATGTGCTCAGTTATAAAAATTCAAAAACTAGCAAAAATAATCTAGGATATTAGAAGTCAAGACAGAGAAAGAGGGGAAGGAGTGACTACAAGGTGCGGCATCAGTCTTATTCTATTTCTTCATCTAGGTGGCACTTACATGGTATGTTCACTTAGTGAAAATTCACTTACCTGTGCATTTGTGATTTGCGAATTTTTCTATATTATGTTATAACTCAATACATACATTTACTTTTAAAAAGTAGAAATAATCTTACATTACACTGTTAAAATTATGTAAAAACTTGTACCTGTGCACATAGGAATCAATTAAAATGCATTTTCAGATGTTGAAATTGATTTTCCCCATTCTCTTTTAAAAAATATTTGAATTGCTACATAACTTGCATAATTTAAAAACATAAACAAACACCAAAAATTAAGTCCAGATTATCTTCTGCAATTAGAGAGCCTCCAGTTGTCCAGGAATTCCAATATTTTGGAATCAATCTTCAGAATTCACTATTTGTGGCTCCCACATGAACACCAAATTCAAGATTGCTTGTGCTCCAGTTTACATAAGCAGAAAGGGGCTGAAACAACACTTCCCATCTTCTCTCCAGATCCTCTCTGTGTGTAAGCAGACACTTCTTTATGTCCTTTCCAGTCTGATTTTCAGACCATATATATATATTATATAATATTTTCAGACCATATATAATATTATATATATATATACTGCCAGAATTGTTTCTGCTCTGAGTCATTTAGTCACTCTAGTTCTTTAGTAAAATTTATCTCAACTTAGAAACTACAATGTTTTAATTTTTCCAACATAGTTTCCCCTCACTTGAGCCCCAAAATATGTCTTTCAACTGTTTCTTTTGTCCAAGGTGGTTAACACAAGCAATATTTGATTTCTTACGTGTTATTAAATGGTTAGAATTGGTCGGGTGGGGAAGGCAAGGGCACCTTTTTACAGTAGAATGCTCATAATTTCTTCTTGATCTGTCATTACTCCTAACATAAGTAAGTAACGCATATTGTAATCCAGTGACCCCTTATGAAATAAATTGTGAACTCCCATTTACTATGCTAAAACAGAGAACTTTTAAAAGGTAAAATGCCTCTGAGATTAACTTCTATTTGGAGCATGGACTGGCCTAATGGAAAACTCAAGCATTTTAACAGCTCAAATTCCAACACTCAGAGGTACAGAATTGAGGTCCTAACGGTTCTGCAAATAAAAAATTGGAGGAAAAAAATCAAGTCCAGAAGATTTAAATGTATCCTCTTGACTAACTAAGCAAAAGTGTACCAAGGGACTTCCTTAATTTCTCCAAAACTTCCTGGAGATTAACAGTGCAATCATCATGTAATTATCAAAGAAGTCCTGTTTGTCCTTGTGGAGCCGAGTCCTATAAACTGGAGGCTCAGTGGGCAGCCTTGGCCAGGAGTAATGCCTGAAAGTGGAGGTCACACTAGGGGCATCAGATAGATTTTGTGCTGGGGCTCCATGTATAATATACACATGTGATCACAGATTTGCCAGAATTGCACTGAATCTTCCACATGAAATTTGTTCAAGCTCCCTTTTGTTCCCAAATAGACTAATTCTCTTAATAATGATTCACCTTTTGGGATGCCTTTTTGATTGTCACCTTACCTCTTGAACAATACCTAAACTTTTGTCCTGTTTTACATCAAATCCTATGTAATTTAATGTGAACTCAGACCACTCTTGTCTGTGGAAAGCAGGGCTGCAGAAGACCCATCTTGGCTGCTCTGTGACTGCATCAAGACCAGCCATGCCTCATTGGTATTTAGGCTTTACTTTCAATCCCACAATCCCACTCCCACAACCCACATTCACCAAGTATTTCCCACCTGACAGAAATTATTCACTTGCCACACATAACCAGCCACATCATCATTGGATTTAAAGATCTTCCAAACTTTCCTTTTTGCCTTCTGTGTTCCTGGGATCCTTTCCAGTTCACAGCCATCAAGGAGTGCTCTGTCAGGGGAGCTGCCACGATGATGTCCAGTTGGCCATTGTAGATCAGAACCTGAAATGAAATCAAGCCATGGGCAAAAGCAGAATTCAGCAGGTGTAGCCAGTGAATCCATCTAGGTATAGACAGTGCACTTGTAAGAGAAAAGGTAACATGAGGTTCTCTGATACAGTGCTCAGAGAGGTCAGCCCAGAAGATCGGAGGGGACAGTTTTCTTTCAGTTATCTGCTAATACCAACAATCTGACTCAAGCCTTGTCTTAACCATTGCATTCTGCATTCTTCTGAAAGTTTAATTCCTCATAGGCATCTGTATAGGGCTGCTCTCAGTTGCAAAAGCATTTGTGTGTATTATCCAGTGATATTGCTCATCTCTATGGCCATGTTAAAGAAGAAGATTGTGGTTACATTTTAGTGTAACTGAGGAATACTGAACCCAAGGATTTTCATGAAGCCTGCATTTCATTAACTTTCCTTTCAGGCTCTGCAATAGGTGACAAACTCGGGGGGGTTGCTAGTCCATATTGCTCTCTGCTCCCACAAGGATTTCACATTGATTTTACAGTGGCAACTACAATTTTTTGAGGCAGAAAAACAGATGCAGATTTGTTTCTTTCTGTGGTCAACTATGTCTGCCGTGCCACTTCCAAGACCTTCTTTTCTTAAGTATGATGGCCACTTGCCAGCAGTAAGAAATGTCCTTTCTTCTTAGAACACATTTTTTTTTTGCCAAGTTGATGGATATTATAAAAGAAATGATGGTGAGGCAACTTTCATCTTTTCTCCCCCAAATAAGTTCAATTTGCTTGGAAATGATTTCAGGTAATACCCAATGCTGCTGAAGCTGTGAAACTCATGGAGATAGTGTAAAATGGTACTATTCTTCAGGAAATTAGTGATTCATTTTTAACGAAGAGATTGTAAAATGGTGAGACACTGTCCCAGTAAACCTAGTTTGTGGAATTAAGTCTATGAAAATAAGCCCAAAGAAATTAAGAAATCACATAACTATAGTCATTGAATCCTATTATAATGGAAAACTTGAACCCAATCTAAAAGTTCCATAATTAATGAGAGGTTAAATAAACAATGACACAGAAATTCTATGGGATAGTGCAAAGCCATTTAAAATGTTTGGCTGAACCATGGAGAAAAGTATAAAATGCTTATCATATAATGTTAAGTATGAAAAGTTAAGTTGGATATGTATCACAGTTATGAATGTATAAAATAGACATATGTAAGTGGAATGAAAACTCTAAAAAATGAATACAGTTGATTAATTTGGGTGATAAGAATCTGAGTAATTTCCTTCTTTGTTTTCTACTGTTCTTAGCCTATTTTTATGCAACTAATGTGGTATTAATTCTCATAAGGTATTGCCACTAGACCCCTAACAAAGAGGTTTTCCCTAACTCCATGCCACTTTCATCTACTTGGAAGCTCTGGTTTGGCTCAAGTGAAGACCTTTGGTTGAATCTTCAAATTGGATATAAAATGTTTCACTGCATATGTTTCCGTCTCTGTCTTCCTGGTGTAGGCTTCTTAAAAGGCTTACACTTAATTAAAAAGCCCAAGATTTTTACACACTCCAAATCCTCAAGCAGCAGTGGGCCAGGATTCAGCCTAAGATGAAAGAGCCCAGGGCCTCTGTGGCAGGATCACGGGGTCTTTCATGTTACTCAGTCACCGTCACCACCTCCAATATCCTAAGCAGAAACCCAAAGGGAAAAATCCTGATCGATTTAAAGCCTCTTTAAAAAAACTCAGCTATAATAATAAAAATTCTCATTGTTTATAGAAAGAAATTGCCTCTAAGACCTTGAGTGCTTATGGCCCATACAAAACTCCGAGGCTGTTTTGCCAACAGTATGGAAACAATTACATATGATCTGTACCAGTGAACAAGACTTAAATACTTCACCATTCTAGGAAGGCCTGATTATAGCTGATTAGTGAAGATAATCATCTCTAAAGTAATTCCTTTTTGGGAATTCAACAAAAGGAAGCTGATTAACTAGCAAATACATAAGTCTATCTGGCCATTTCCTCCCATGACCACTAAATGAAGCTTGCATCTTTCTGAGTATCTCTCATAGCTACCTTACTATCATCAGTATATTTTGAAATCAATTCGAATTTTTCATCTTTCAGGGGTGAAAATCCACAGATCACAGCAAAAACAGGCTTATTCGTACAGGATTTGAGTACATGTCTGTTGAATTGAAATGAAGCCCACCCCTAGCTGTTTCCCTTGTTATTCAAGAGCCGTCATAAGCAAGAACACTAACTCTCTGGAATGAGGCAGGGAAGGGCTGAAGTGCCTGTGATGTGCAGACCTACTTTTGGAGGCAGATGGAAGCCCTTTCCTTGAAAAGTGAAGAAAACATTTTTTAACCTCTAAAGGGCACCCAAATGCAACCCAAAAAAGAAATCAGACTAATGATCAAGCCAAGTCATTTTCAGAGCTGGCATTTAAGGCTGTAAGCATTAAATGTAAGAATTTCAGGCTTTTATTTTTATCTAAATGTCACATTTACTCTTGTCACCTCAGCAGGACTATCCCAGTTGCCTCTGGTGCTGGGTGAGTGGGCGAGATATCCTCGGATCCAGTGACAGTGAGCTGAGAAGCCAGGTGGATATAGGAGTGGGTGGGCCTGAAGCCCAAAGGCACATGTTGGCTCCCACATCCTGACAGAGAAGTTCCAGGACAATACCTAAGTCCTGACAGGCTGGCAGATTATGAAGGATCTGCACACATTTGCCACTCTTCTTCCTGGTAAGGGACCAACTTCCCCCATTTGCCCTAGACAGAGGAGTTTCTCAGGATGCAGGACTTTCAAGCTAAAACTGGGCCAGTCTGGGGCAAACCTCCCTCTGAGGCTTGTTGGTAGTTTAAGCAACAAGAGCTAAAGGCAGACAGGAAACAGAAGTGAATGCAGCTCTTAGCTACACTTGCCTTGTTAGTAGTGACTTCAACAAAACAAGGTACAAGGACCAGACTGCTTGGAGTTTGTTTCTAGGGACACACCAGACAGTGCCCTGAATACTTGGGTGCCTCACTGTCCTTTCCGGTCAGCTGTGAGGCCTCCGTTAAACAGCAAGGGCATCCCTATTAGGGAATTTACTTTTCTTTTACTTCTTAGAGACCTGACTGGCTAGCTCATTGAAATTGATAGTTATGGGAAGAAATGGGAAAATACTTACTAAAAAATCAATGTAAAACAGTCCTCTATAATTACTACCTTTTAAAAAGGTGCTTCAAACTTGGAAAAAGAATACATCCAAACTCTAGCATTTAAGGTGGTCAAAGTATGAATGATTTGTTTTAATTTGAGTATTTCTAGCGGTTTTTTTTGGATAAATAGGTCATTGCTTTTATAATGAAAAAATAAAGTAAAAATAAAAATAACATTAGGAGGCTGGGAACCTCTGTTTGGCAAAAGATGGGTCTTTATTGAAGAATAATTTGTGCTAACTCAAAAACTGCCAGCTTTCAAGTTTTCTTAACAACTAGGTAAAAATATAACTTTAGTTTGTTTATAGGTGATCTTAAAAACTCACTCCAGAATTGAAGCATTTACAAGAAATAGCTTTAGATGATTTGGATGACTAGCATCTTTTATTATTTCTTTTGATGAAAGGCAGAGATGAGAAAAGCATTTTTATTATGTTCTTTACTTTTCAAAGTGCTTTCATGTATATATGGCTTTATTCTCATCCACTTCATGATGTTGGGACAAGAAGTATTACAACACCTGCCTCCATTTGACCGTTAAGGAAATTGTGACACAGCAAGGTGCCAGAGTGTGTCCTGGATCCCAGACTTTCAAGCTTCTACCTGGAAACTTAAGAAAGGAGCTAAATTCCTTCAACCCATAATCATTTGTTGACTCCCCACAAGTAAATGTTTAGTGCCATCAAAGCCTCTGGAAACAGTTGGCCGAGCATGAGACATAGTTCCCTTCTCCAGTTCAGAAACAGTCTGGGTCTGTTTGTCCAGCTCCAGTGGCATCTCTCAGTCATTCCTCACTTTGGCTCTATGGACAAGGGTGTGCGCAAGGGTGTCATCCGGCTGGTGATAGATGCCTCACTGCGGTCATAGGGAGTGGCCTTCATTGAGCAGCTGTGGAATGGCTTGGGCACCTTGGGAATGGGGGCTCTGAGCACTCACTTCCATCCATAGCCCTTGCATGGCACCTGCACCCCAAATGCTTTATCAGCTCTTGCAGGCTACAGTCAGTTGCACTCTTTAAGGTCTGTTGAGAGATCCACCTCCTCTCTCCTGATAACAGTGCTCCCTTCCCCTCCATGGACACGGCCCCAGCGGAGGCTACCAATCCCAGTGTCCTGTCTCCTCTGTGCAAGAGGTGAGCATATGACCTAAACGAGGGCACCCAAATACTCTTTCTCTAGAATTCGAGTTGTGGGCAGAGTTTGACTACACGGTTTCTCTGATGAGTCTACCCATTAGTTTTGCTATCTGGATCCCCATAATTTTCCCTGGTCTTTATCTTTCCTCACTCCAGTTCTTCAGTTTTTCCATAAACTCTGTGACCTACCATGTCTTCCAATCAATTGCTTTCATGTTTCAAGTAACCAGAGTTGTTTCTGTTGCTAAAAGCATGAAATCCAAAATTATATGCCCTCAGACCAGTGCCATGCACAGTCCAGCACATGGTACCCAGGAGCTCAGGACCCATGGCTTAACCTCCATGAGCTTTGGTTCTCTTTTCTGGACATGAAGATGCTAAGACCTATATCTCATTGTAGTGAGAATAAATGAGATAATCTGCACAGAGTTCCTAGCATAAGGCCTGACACAAATCGGGAGCTCAGTGTCAGTTCCTCCTCTTTCAGGTGGGTTGATTATGTGATAATGTCTAGAAAGACTCAGCAAAACACTTCTTCTACAATAACCCTTCAGGATTTGTGGAAGTTCTTTTCATGTCAAATGCTTGGTTGCTGATCTCACTCTTTCAGACAAAGGCCTGCAGTAGGAGGAAATCCAGCCAGGATAAACCTGAACTCTATGTATTCAAATGCTTGAAATAA